GCAACAAGCAGCAGATGGTAACCGCTGGTCTAATTAAGACCAGCAAGATATGGCATAAAGCCTAGAAAGAAGGCAGAGGCACAAAAATAGCATTATGTACTGACCTACAGTGATATGTGTATTAGGGTGTCTAAGCAACCTATGACACCCCCCCCCAAGAAGTTGTTGGGATACAACTCATATCATCCCTGAGCATTGGCAATGTTGGCTGGAGAAGATAAGATTTGGAGACCAACAACATCTGAAGGACACCCCAAACTAATGCTTATTTGTTTTCCTTCTATTATGAGTTCATGGTAATTTAAGGGACATGCTGCTGCTCCCAGCCAGCGATGAGGTTTTATTGTTCCTCACCCTGAGATCTTGGAATGAAACGCAGGTTAAAATATTTTATATATAATTACTGGATTTATGAGCCCCAGTATCATTACTGGTACTGATTTGGATTCTTTTCTTGCCTCTGGATGACATTTTAGGTTCAAAAGGCTAAGTTAAAATCTTAATAGTTACAGTGTCAAATTCAGCCACCTTCCTTGTTTCCACTTGCTGAATGGGATGCTGACAGAACAGATAAGCTCCAAGCTTGTTAATTATTTATTATCTCACAGCTCCACATTCTTCTGCTCCCCAGCTTCCAGATTAAAAGAACAGTTGATAGTTAATAAAATGCTTGGTTTAAAAGGAGTGAAAATCAATTAAACCTTGATTAAAATCTGTGAAGCTCCGGAGCTGGCTGCCTGGCCTGTTGCCATCATAACCAGAAGCCAAAAAAATTAATAAAGTTATTTTTAACTGTTTCAATCCATCTTGTACATTAAGATGATAAGGCAGAAATTACAGCTCTTTCCCTTTGAATATCTCTTATTTCTTCTTCTTCTTCTCTTTCTTTCATTTTTAGTAGTTGTTGGGAAGTCTAAAACTGATGTCACTCAGGAAAGGGCTTACTGTGACCCTGCAGGTAAGAACATGAAAGCATCTGGTTGGCTGCTTTGGGAAACTTTTGATTTGATAACTTTTGATTTGAACATGAAAGCATCTGGTTGGCTGCTTTGGGAAACTTTTGATTTGATTTGACTCACCAGAGTTCTTCTTATGCAAGAAATTAATTGAGAAGCCCAACGTGCTTCCAATATCCCAGCTATTGGATACAGATTGCTTACAGCTGTGAGCTGTGACTGGTTCCGGTATCTTATTCCCAAGCTGTGCATGTCTCAAAACAGAATCAGACAACAAAGTTCAGAAAAGGACAGAAATCGATGAAATGCTATGTTTTGGAGATGAGACTTGAATAATTATACAGTGCTTATTTCAGAATATGACAAGGAAACTGGATACCAACACTTGGAAAATACTTTTGAGCTGTATTTATAATTTAAACCATTTGGAATAAAAAGTAATAATAATGGGGTGTTGGATAAAAATGTAGTTACAGCATAAGAGCAATAGCCTGCTACAGCAAAAACAGAAACAGCTAAAAGTCCTGAGACATTTTAAGGAATGACAAATTAATTATGGCATGAGTTTTCATAAACTTGACTCTATCAGATGCATGGAGCATTATTCTTAGTTGGCAAGTGTGTGTGTATATCATGTAGCACAGTCTTTCACCACAGAAGTTGTCTTGGTAGGTTATAGTAAATTTAAGAAACTGAAGATAAAAAATACTCTTTCCTGATGCCCAGATTCTGCCATCCAATGTGGCTGCCTCCTGTTGCCTCATAGTACAGTCAGCTCTGCTCTGTCCTCCAGGAATTCATTCAGACACTCTGGTCTTCTGGTGAAAAATTTCCTCCTCTGTCTAAGCATTCTCTCAAACTTCCAACACACCAATGAATAACAAAGAGACCAAATAAATAAATAAATCATGCATCTAACATTTCGCTTCTTCTTTCCCCGCAGATCCTCATTGCCTTGTAGCTTCCAGGGTGCTGAAAAGGTTAGATAATGGAAAGCATGGAAACATCCTGCCCAAAGAATACAGCAGAGATGAAGATCATGAAAAGGATCAAGAAATGACAATCCAAGATCCTGCCTCATCCTTCTGATTCTTCTCAAGCCTTTTTCAGTATGGAACTTTCAAATTAGCAGAAAAGTTTGTTGTGGTGGTGGTAACCGTGGCGGAGCGACATGCTCTGGCACCCGGAGTGGCGAACAGGCAGGGGTGTCACTGGCGCGCATTGGGGGGGGGCCCACGTTGCACGTCATGGGGCGGGGGGCATGCGTCGCGCTTCCCAGGGTGCACGGCGAGTGGTGGGCATCCGGGGAGGGCCCTGCTGCCATGGCACTCCCCAGGAATGGCACCTGGGGCTGACCGCTCCCTCCGCCCCCCACCTTCATGCGCCAGTGGGTGGTGATTCTGTGCACCTCAACAAAACATAGAATGAGGGTCATATTGTTGATGTAGGCTGCAGCTTACAAGTAATCTTTGGGCCTCACCAGACTGGTGTATTCTGCAGCATGTTGTTGATTTAATAATAATAGTGCAGTAGTTGTGGGTCTATACTGGACTGTTTTATCAGTTCTTCCACAATGCAGTAGCACAACCAGATTCCTTCATCTGCCCCAGCTGCAACAAAACACGTCTCTCATGTATCAGTCTCTACAGCCACAGCAGACACTGTGATTCTCCAACAGTTTGGCTTCACCCACAAAGGCACACTCCTCCATTGTCTCCTGAGATAGATGGAGGTCAACAACAACAGTGTTTGTTGCTGCACTATTTGATGGTCATTCTTGTGCTATAGCATGATAAAGGTGGGATAAAAATGAAACATCATCATTGGTCTTATATCTATGATTGAGTATCTGAACCATCCTGGGTCCATTTTATTCATGCAGCCAAGGTTCTTTTCAAAGCTCCAATGAGAATAAAACTTTGATGAGTGGTTTGCAAGGTGGTTTGCAAGTCTCCATCAGAAGTCATGGGTTTTTATCCCTTAGAGCTGCGGAATATTTTTGGTTCAATGGGCCAAATTCTTATCAGGGGCATGGAGAAGTCCCTGCTTTCCTTCACCTAGCTTGGCAAAAAGGGATCCCCCTGCTATGGCTCTATGCATCTCTTTCCAGCAAACTGAGCAAGATTTAAGCCCCACTTGTCAGCTGTGTTATCAGTGTTACAACAATTTAATTACTTTTATATACCTAAAATGATCTAACAAAAATGCAGTGCATAAAACATCTTTTGGCATCTTGGCAAAGTGTCTTCAGTTTCTCTCACGTGGTTTTGCAGTGATTTGCAAGCTGCTGCTGACCATTGGATTCTAACCATCAGTCTATCTTATCTCTATCTCATTGTTCATCCATGCAACTCAAGGTGACTGTGTGTGTGTGTTACATGCCACCCCAATCTCAGAGTAGTGCAAAATTCCAGGGGTCCAGACACTTAGTCAGGGTTTGTGTTTCCGTTGGAAATGAAGCATAGCGGAGACTGTAGTGTATTTATTATGTATGGCTTATTTACACATATATGCAACCTGAGCCTATGATGGAGGGGTTCAAAGCATTGCCCTCCGATAGGGTCCAGTTTCTCCCATTGATTCAGCCTTGGATCAAAAAAGAAATGAAACATGGCTCACTGTCCAGCTCAAATCAAACATGGCTCACTGCTCAGCTTGCTGGCTTTAACCGATTGACACTTTTTCTCTCTAGCCCACATGCTAGCCAACTCTGCTTTGTCTCTGCTATCTCTCACACCCATCTACTGTCTGACACAGAGTATCTGCTTGGTTAATCTCCCATTAACTTCCTTTTGTTCTCCATGATGATTTCCTGAGAATGGAAAAACTGGTTTGGCCTGTATTTTGACACCTCAGTGTGTGGCAGCCAATCTCAATACTCCAAGCAGTGATTAAACACCAACACCCACTATACCCAGTAATTTAGCAGACTCAAGGCACCCACCCAAACACATACAAATGTATCTTCACAGCTACACTGTAGAGTGGATCATGCTGAGAGAGATTGCACAGTTAAAACACATGTTGTCAGACAATTTGTACCCATGCATAGAAGCAGAAGTGGTGGAAGAGGAAGAGCTTTGAGCAATCTCTTCCTGAACAGATGTGTGTGAAGGATCGTTCAAATCTACCCCAAAGAATGAACAGAACAGGGAAGATCTACTTCTTGTTAGCTGTAAAGTAGCCTTATTCAATGTGGTTCCTGCCAGGTCTTTTGGACTACAGTTCTCATTAGCCCCAGCCATTGGTGAAGGCTGCAGTATAGTGTCTCCTGGAAGTTATAAGACATCATGTTGAGCAAGTAGTTCTCAAAGGTTTAGTTAAGGATGCAAAACTCCCCATTGATTTTTACTTTGCTTAATTTAAGTTACATAGGGAGGGAAACAAATCTCCCCAGGCTTCCTTCACACAGCAAAAGACCAGAGGTGAAGTATAATCCACAGTGGAAATGAGACGTTACCTTTCGTCATTATGCAGACATGAAAGTTTCAAGGACCTCTTTTGCAGACAGAATAATGAGAGGTTTAAAAAGCAGTGGATTGCATTCATCTATTTTTTATTCTGAGTACGCCCATTGAAATTAATCACCATGACTAACTCAGGCTCATTAATTTCAATGGAACTACTCTCACTCTCTCCCCTTTCTCTTTCCCCCCAACATCACACTGTATGCAACATTAATGTCTCACACTGAATGCAACTGGTAAGTAAAATGGCTCTATGACCTGAAAAAGAGATAATGCAGGTATTTTTGTAACCCAATATTTTAATTTTTTTTAAAAAGCCATCTAATATTATTTTCCAATTTAATCCAGATGTATCAGAATCCCATTTAAACTCAGGCCCATTAGGTAACAAAAAAAAAAAACAAACCAAAACAAACATGGAAGCTGTAAATACAGATTAAATGGAGGGCATATGGCATGGCATTTTGGTGAGGATAAAATCATGTGGATGCTGGGGAAAAAATGCTTGCATGAGAAGCACCACATCTACAATAAACCACTGTGTGTAAGTGCCCTGTGTCTCACATACCCATTTACTTTAATGAGAAATTATTGTGAGCTTTTGTGTTGGCACGCATTTGTCGATGGCTCTTTTCAGAGACTTGCTCACCTCCTTGTTCCTCAAGCTGTATATCAGAGGATTGATCAGAGGTGTAAAGACCGTGTAGAAGAGAGAGAAGACTTTGTTCATTCGGCTCAGTGTGTCTGTATTTGGGAACATGTACACTACTATTAATGCCCCGTAAAAGATAGTGACTACAGAGAGGTGGGAGGAACAGGTGGAAAAGGCTTTCTTCCTCCCTGTGGCAGATGGGATTCTCAGAATTGCAGTGATGATGTAAATGTATGAAGCAATGGTCAGCAGAAATGGCGGAAAGGTAAACACAGAGGTAGTGATGAAACTGGACAACAGAAGAAAATGGGCACCGCTGCAGAGGTGTTGTATCAATGGCATGAAATCACAAAAGAAATGGTCTATTTCGTACGGAGCACAAAAACTGAACTGTGCCATTGTTAGTGTAATTGTGGTGACTACTAACAAGCCACTTAGCCAAGATACGATCACTAACTGGACACAGAGACGGTTGTCCATAAGGGCTGTATAGTGCAGCGGTTTGCAAACCGCAAGATAGCGATCATAAGACATCACCGCCAGGAGATAACATTCTGTTGCTGCTAGAAATGCAAAGAGCCAGAACTGCAGCATGCATCCTTTTGCAGAAATGGTTCTGTCCTGGGATAGAAGGCTGGCTAGCATTCTTGGCAGAATGGTTGAGCTGTAGCAGGTCTCTAAGCAGGATAGGTTACCCACAAAGAAGTACATGGGTGTGTGAAGGTGCTGGTCAGAAATGACTAGAACAACAATGAGGATATTCCCAGCCATGGTCACAAGGTAGATGGACAGAAAGATCAGGAAGATGAATATCTGCAGATCCTGGAGATCGCTAAACCCCAGCAGGACGAAATGCGTTATGATCGTTTGGTTTTTCTCTCGGATGCTACTCATGGAATGCATCTGCCATAAATCAAACAAAACATTAAACATGCTTTCAATGCAGGTAGCTACAAATAGAGAATGAAAAGATAAAAAAGAAAAGAAAAATGCAATTTTACTGACAACAGCAAAAGAACGGCTGGGTCGATGGTCTTTATGGTAACAGTACTGGAAAACATTGATGTGAAAATGTTATTTATAAGAAGATATATATTTATAAGAAGATAAACACACACAGGACACCCTGCTGGGGCCAGACCAAAAACCCACCTCATCCAACATCCTGTTTCCAACAGTGTTCATTATCTTCTTACATCACACTCCTGTATGAGACAGTTAATGAAATGTTTCTTACCTACTGTTATGATATCAAACTAGCGATAATGGCTTATTCCTTTACCGTATGGGTTTTTTTCCCCAAGAAGAAGGTGGTAAATACTTCCTCTTTTGGTTTGTTGCAGATATTGAATCGAGCAGCTTTGAATGTTTGTATTTCTAAATGCTCTGCTCCATGTTTTTTAATATCTTTTCCAGAGGAAGGCTGGTTATCCCCTGGACACTATTTAACTGTGAAAGAGGAAGTAGTATTTTTGTTGTTGTCGTCACTGTTGTTCTAAATGACATTTTCAAATGAACATTGGTGGCTGATGACTTTTGGAACTCATGGGGAAGAGATCCCAACAGGAGGTGGAGTCAGAGCCAATGATGAGCCGAGCCAATTAATTCTGCTCTGGTCCCCATCCGCCTCCCTGTTATGTTCCACAATTGGCAAGACTGATAATAAGGAGAAGAAAGTTGCCATAAGTAGTGCCATCCCCTGGACTAGGTGCAAGAAAGCAGGCAGTTGGGGGCTGGTTGAGGGAAGAATGAGGTTGGTGGGGCAGTGCCCCATTTGCTGCAATGGAGCAGCCTTCGTGGCAAGCGTTCATTTTCAAAAACAGTGTTGTGTTGAGTGCTATGCCATTCCTTCAATGGCCAATTCTCAGGCCAATGTTGCTAATGTAAGCAAATCAGCCACACACATTCAGGAGGGAGGTATCAATGGGCTCAGGGTAAGTTCAAAGTTTCCATAAGGATAACAAACTTTAGGGGAAAGCTTGGGGAGGAAATGAGTTGGCCCAGCTTATGAAACCCTTGATGAGGAGGGCTTAATTACCCCATCATACTACATTGTTAGGGACGTGGGTGGCGCTGTGGGTTAAAGCCTCAGCGCCTAGGACTTGCCAATCGAAAGGTCGGCGGTTCGAATCCCCACGGCGGGGTGCGCTCCTGTCGCTCGGTCCCAGTGCCTGCCAACCTAGCAGTTCGAAAGCACCCTCGGGTGCAAGTAGATAAATAGGGACCGCTTACTAGCGGGAAGGTAAACGGCGTTCTGTGTGCTGCGCTGGCTCGCCAGAGCAGTGATGTCAAGCTGACCACATGACCCAGAAGTGTCTCCGGACAGTGCTGGCCCCTGGCCTCTTAAGTGAGATGGGCGCACAACCCTAGAGTCTGTCAAGACTGGCCCATATGGGCAGGGGTACCTTTACCTTTACCTTACTACATTGTTTTGTCCCTATAGTCTGCAGCAGGGAAAAACATGTTCTCACATTGGTTTCCATTCCATTTAATTCCTTGTACAAATGAAGGTACCCATTTCACTGATGATGAACAAGGACACAGAACCGCACAGAGATAGGAACTATTGCACAGTATGTTGTGTGTACTTGTGTTTTGTACTGTGTTTTGGATGCAGGTGGACTGTGGTCTAAATCACTGAGCCTCTTGGGCTTGCCGATCAGAAGGTTGGTGGTTCAAATCCCTGCAATGGGGTGAGCTCCAGTTGCTCGGTCCCAGCTCCTGCCAACCTAGCAGTTCGAAAGCATGTCAAAAAAGGGGGGGCAAGTAGATAAATAGGCGGGAAGGTAAATGGCATTTCCATGCGCTGCTCTGGTTTCGGTGTTCCATTCCGCCAGAAGCAGCTTAGTCATGCTGACCACATGACCCAGAAAAACTGTCTGTGGACAAACGCCGGCTCCCTCGGCCTGTAAAGCAAGATGAGTGTCGCAACCCCAGAGTCGTCTGCAAATGGACTTAACTGTCAGGGGTCCTTTCCTTTTTTTATTCTGTCATAAAATTATTACAGTGGTACCTCGGGTTACAAACGCTTCAGGTTACAAACACTTTGGGTTACAAACTCCGCTAAGCCAGAAGTAGTACCTCGGGTTGAGAACTTTGCCCCATAATGAGAACAGAAACTGCACGCCGGCGGTGTGGCGGCAATGGGAGGCCCCATTAGCGAAAGCACACCTCAGCTTAAGAATGGTTTCGGGTTAAGAACAGACCTCCAGAACGAATTAAGTTCGTAACCCAAGGTACCACTATATATTTTTTTATTATAATATTAATTATGATTTTCAGTTTCATACATTTCAATAATTTTACAAGGAGGGGCACAGGGTTAGCTCATTCACACAACTCTCTTCCCTCCCATGGTTCAACAACTTATGCTGCCACAGCCACACTATGATGTGTACGAAGTGAGGACAAATTCCAGTATGCACATTCCTGTAAGCCCACTTACAGTAGAGCATAAAATACATTAATTTGCCTCTTTCTGTTTTGAGCCATTGTTTACTCTGTTTGCTTACTGTTGATTTCTTCCAGGGAAACTCAAAGGGGAAGGGCCATAGCTCAGTGACAGAGCATCTTCCTAGAGTAGAGAAGGTCCTAGATTCATTGCATGGCATCTCTCTGCCTTAAACCCTTGGGAGCTTCTGTCAGTACAAACAATACTGAATTGACCAATGGCCTGACTCATTATGAGGCAGCTTTCTATGTTCCTATATGATATTCTTTAAAAAAGAGCAAGCTTTGAAGTCAGTAGTTTAATTGCAATATGCTTAAGTACATAAGTACCGGTAGTTTGCTGCTTCTAGCATTAAAACACCTATTATTAAAATGATGTCAAAGGAGACTGTGATTTCCCTGTGGGAAGAGAGAGATGCAATGCACCAAGAAGGATAATCATTTTGATGGAATATATATGGAGAGAAGAAACACTGAAAACAAAAATGCCCTTTTTAATTTCAAGAATGAACTGAGGTCAGGAATAAGATGGGGAAAATGAGAAGAGGCTGTTTTCAGAACAGAGATACAGCAGAAGAAGTAAATTGAATTCCAGCACTATGGGCATGTTGTAATCTATACATTTTTAAAAATGTTATTAATCAAAGCAAACACACTACAGTCAACTGAGACATGAAAACAGCGATAATGAGGAATAAGGTAAGCAAACCAATGGCTTTTCCATTGATGTGTAAGAATGAGATAGGAGGAAGGGGAAAAAAAAGAAAGAAACAGAAGCATCTGGACATGGCTGGCAAGAGGTTGCCATGTGCTTGGATTGAAACTCTAAAGGCACAATGGGCATTAAAAGCCATTTGTACATAAGGACAAATGTAGGTGTCATAAATAAAATAATAGAATAATAGAACTGTAGAGTTGGAAGGGACCCTGAGGATAATCTAATCCAACCTCCTGCAATGCAGGAATAAGCAGTTGTCATGTATGGGGATTAAACCTGTGACTTTAGAATAATAATAATAATAATAATAATAATAATAATAATTTATATGCCACCCATTTGACTGGGTTGCCCCAGCCACTCTGAGTTGCTTCCAGCAAATTAAAGCACCAAACATTAAAAACTTCCCTATACAGGCTGCCTTCAGATGCCAGATAAATGTTCATCTCTTTGACATCTGATGGGAGGGTGTTTCACAGAGTGGGTGCAACTACCAAGAAGGCCTTCCGCCTGGTTTCCTGTAACTTCACTTCTCGCAGTGAAAGAACCGCCAGAAGACGCTCAGACCTGGAATTCAATGACTGGGCTGAACGATGAGGGTGGAGATGTTCTTTCAGGTATACAGGGCCAAGGGCCATTTAGGGCTTTAAAGGTTAGCACCAACACTTTGAATTGTGCTCGGAAATGTAATGGGAGATAATATAGATCATTTAGGACTGGTGCTATATGGTCCTGCTGGCCGCTCCCAGTCATCAGTCTGGCAGCCTCATTCTAGATTGGTTGTCTTGTGTGCAGGCAAGTGTATGTTAGGTGAAATGTGCACAAAATAAAATTGTATGAATGTTTTCACGGTGTGGAAATTTGAACCAAGTATAAGAAAGAAAAGAAAAACTAAGAGAAATTGAAATTGTGAGGTTTGTCCATCCCTAGTATTTGCTACTATTAATGAAGAATTAAAAAGCAAATATATTATTAAGGATAATGTGCATCATGGTCAACCTAGGTCCTGTTAAAAAATCCTAGTGATGGAGAGGAAAAAGATTTGTTTGAACCCTCTAGCTGTGTTCACTTATGACTTGAAAAGTTGTCCTGGAAAACCTCCTCCCATCCTCTTCTCTCTACCTCTCTCTAGTTTAATACCTGCTGTATAACTGCCAACATCTAAATCTTATGGGTGCAGATGAAAAGAGCTATTGTATATTAATCCTTTCCACCCATCTGAAGTAGAGTTTATCTAATCTTTCCAGGTGTGAAGCTAATACAATGGCAAAAGCAGAATTGAGAAATCAAACAGTCCTCACTGAATTCCTTCTGCTGGGATTTGGAGATCTAGGAGAGCTTTGGTTTCCTCTCTTCCTGCTCTTCTTAGTGATCTACATTGTGACCATGCTTGGGAATATTCTCATTGTCGTGCTTGTTGTGGCTGATCGCCACCTTCACACCCCCATGTACTTCTTCCTGGGAAACCTGTCCTGCCTGGAGACCTGCTACAGCTCCAACATCCTTCCCATGATGCTGGCCAATCTCTCTGATGGAGGTCCAAGAACCATTTCTGTAACTGGATGCATGATCCAATATTACTTCTTTGGCTTCTTGGCAGCCTCAGAATGTTATCTCCTAGCAGCAATGTCCTACGATAGGTATGTGGCAATTTGTAAGCCACTGCTCTATACGGTACTGATGAATGGCAGAGTTTGCCTCCAGCTAATAGCTGCATCTTGGATCA